AGTACTGTTATGCGAGGTTGTCATTGCATTATGTCAGAGTTAACAGACTTCGAACGGGGGCAAATTGTTGGAGCACGTATGGTAGGTGCTTCCGTAAGCAAGGTAGCCGAGGTGTTTTAGTGTTTCAAGAGGTACTGTATCGAAGATTTATTCCGCATATTTGAAAAGCGGAAAAAACATCATCTGCTAAATCACAGCGCGGACGAAAGTGTGTCCTGAGTGATCGTGACAGACGATCATTAAGGGCAATTGTGACGAAAAATAAGAAGACCACAGCTGCAAAAGTTACTGCTGAAATGAATGTTGTGTTACCGAACCCTGTGAGTACCAAAACAATTAGAAGGGAGCTTCATAAACAGGGAATTGCTGGCCGTGCTGCAATTGAGAAGCCACTCATCAGTGATGCTAATGCCCGTAACAGGAAAAGGGTGGTGTTTAAGTCATAAAGCCTGGACTATAGAGCAGTGGAGCGAGTAATATGGTCTGACGAGTCTTCTTTCACATTGTTTCCCACTTCTGGCCGAGTTTACGTCTGGAGAACGCCATCTCAAGCCTATAATACAGACTGCTTGTTGCCAAGAGTGAAACATGGCGGGGGTTCTGTTATGGTTTGGGCAGCCATATCGTGGTTCTCTGCTAGCCCCATGATAACTGTGTCAGGGCACATGACTGCCAAGACTTATGTGAACATTTTGGCCGATCAAGTTCATCCCATGGTACAAACTTTGTTCCCGATGGTGATGGTGTCTTCCAAGACGACAAAGCCCCTGTTCACACAGCTCACATTGTCCAGGACTGGTTTTCTGAGCACGAGGATGAGTTGTCCCATCTCCCCTGGCCACCACAGTCACCAGACCTGAATATTATCGAACCTTTGTGGTCTACATTGGAACGGAAAGTGCGTTCTCGTTATCCACCGCCAACATCGTTATCTGAACTTGCCACCGTTTTGCAGGAAGAATGGTATAATATTCCCTTGGCAAACATACAGGAACTGTATTTATCCATTCTGAGAAGACTGCAAGCTGTTTTGGATGCCAACGGGTTTCCTACACCATATTAAGCAAAGAAACATGTTTTTTTAAAGGTATTTCCATATTTTTGTCCAACCCCTGTATCTACAAATCTTTGAAATTTCATCATAATCCGGCACTGATAGCGCATGAATAAAAAGTAGAGATCTCAGTTCGTTGGCGATAGAAGAACATAACTGCTTACGTTTATGAGGTGATTGAAGATGACCGAAGAATATTTTACACCACAATATATCTGACCTGCTAATTTGCGGCATTGTTCTTGAGTTGCATATTTTCAGTACTGCAATTTTCGTACCAGACGGGTATCATAAGTATTATCAAATGATCGTAGACTCTCACGAATAATGGTCTCTTTAATGTTTCTTTGAAGTTACGCTGAAGACAGACTTTTGATCTTGATGATTTTCTTGACCTTGATCAGACGGGGTTAATGGATCTCCACTTCTTCGTTTCCACCAGTGTCCAAGCAAAGAGAATTTTGCTTCACCATCGAGTTGAAAGTGGAGCTTTCAAGCAAAAGAAACAAGCTGTTTCACCAACGAGAAGGGTGTAACACAATCTGCTGGAAAAATCATAATACCCTTTGTCTGAAATTCCCCAAGTATGATTTGATAGACTTCTTTACTGATTTATCTGCACTAATTGATCTAATATTCCAAAGTTAATCTGAAAAAATAGCTGCAGGTTATCCGGAGTCAGAAACCATATTTTCTGAGCAGCTACGCCATTCCTTTTCACTACACTTCCAGGCAACATACAGACAGCATTATGTAGTGTTTGATCTATAGCAGGATTGACCATAGTGAGGCTGAGCCAGGTACTGTTCTTGCATGCTGGAGGGGAGTAATGCAGCTCTTATGTGAATAATATAGAGCAGGGCTTCTTAAACTTTTTACAGTTGCGACCCCTTTTTTATCACTGAGATTTGTTTCGCGACCTCAAGATCCCATAATATATTTACGAAAATTTTATGGGACTCCATAAATCCGAAACACACGTGAGTGAAACTGTCAATTTTTTTCATTTGTACTGTAATACTATTGCAGTTTTAGGTCATTAACTTTAAATTTCTAATTTTAAGACATAGAACAGAGTGAAAATTTTAAATAAATAACAGACGAAACGACAGCGTTACGTACAAAGCAAGTAACATGAACGTTTATATTATAAAAAGAATGTGCCGAAACGTTTTCGTTTTTTCTTTGTCTGTATTGTCTTTACCTTTATCTATTTTCAGATACATTGCGTAAAAATATTTGGTAATTATAAAATTATTACAGTAAGTTAAAGAAATATCAAAACTGCTAAAATTTTTGACGACCCACAGTTTAAGAAACTCTGATATAGAGGATGCCCCATAAGTCAGTAAATATTTTTAAAATTTATAAAAATTGAAGGAACTGATAAAATTGAACGCAGTTTGAGAAAAGTTATTTCCGTGAAGGGGAATTTTTTTGGTAAAGGGGAAAAACAGTATCGGTACAGTTATCGAAGATGATGATGACACTAATGTCGATATCGATAGTGAAAAGGAATTGTCTCTTGAACAAATATTAGAATTAGCGATAACTAAAAAAATTTCAATAAACCAAAATACAATACAGAAATTAGTTATATCCAAAACCATCCAACGAGAAATCGATTTATTTGAAGATGAGGGATTTAGAGGTAAATACTTAAAAAAAGCATATCGCGCATTGCTAACAATACCATCAACTAGTGTAGATGCTGAAAGAGCGTTTTCGACATCTGGTAATTTTTGCACAAAATTACATTCCAGGCTTAGTAACAGTTTTTTAAAAATCACATTTCAAAAATTTGTAATAGAACCACAGATTGAATAGTGATATTTACACTTTTTTGTGATTTAAATACATAAGATGTTCCTTATTTCTTTACTTTTTTATGATTCTTTATATACTGTTTTATAAATTACAAATTATTTTTTTTTGTGATATTTACTCTCTCTAATAAAACTGGCAAATAAAACAAAGAAACACCTGTGTTTTCTTTCTTTTTCTAAAATTCTTACTACCGGCATTAAAACCGGTATTCCGGTATTAAGATATAAAAAGTATCGAATACCGTTATTGAATATACCGTTATTGGTCCGAAATTGCAATCCCCATATGAGATATAGGGCAGACTGCTCAGTGTCCAAAAGAAAGTGACTAACTTGTTTCATATTTTTTACAAAGTTATTAGTAAACTGATCAATGTATAAACGTAATTATTTTATTTCATTTGTTGTTAGTTAAGAAATTTAATGTTATTCAAAAATATAGAAAATAAAAATATTGTACTGATTCTATCAAAATATTTTGTAAATAAAGTTATCAAAAGTTAAATTTGCTGGTAGATGCTTCACAAGTAAAGTCTGCCCAATTTCTAAATCATTAGTAGCAGTAGAAACTTAATTGGGGTAGTCTGTAATCGGAACAGAAAACTCAAGTAATGCATCAGAAACATTTAATATTAACATAATTTGATAGAAGTTAACAATGATTATGAAATTGATTCGACGTGCGAATTAAAGAGAAATTTATGGCAGTTGGAAGTTGTGGAAATTTCTAATAAACCTGACTGGGTAACAGCTTAAAAGATGATGCTACCTTTAGAAAATATCGATAATTCGTAAAATACAGACGATATATGACTTGTTTGCATGCAGGGGAATTACGGGATAATTTTGAGGTAGCAGAAAAACGATTTGACTAGCTGTGGTGCAGATTTCAGAGTCCGAAATTGCGTGAGCATTACAACAAATCAACATTTACAAGATGGTATACGGTGGAAGAATCGACGCACTTAAAAACTGAAAAAGAACACATTTTACCGTATCAAACTGTAATTAGAGAAAACAAAGACACCACAAGTCATCAAAGCAACATCACATACTGAAAGCAAACTATCATTGATCAATTGTTTAGATGGGTGTATTGAGAGATGATCAACAGGGTAGCAAGACTAATATTTTGGTGAAACGAAAAAGCCAGTTACAGTGCTTGAAATGTATTTTGATTATTTAAATGAACAACAGTGTAAGATGAAATATAACAATTTTCAACTTTTGAGACAATTATCCAGCACCTTGAAATGTTAACCAGAATTGCAAAGTTTTTAGAAAGCTCGCACTCCTATTTTCAGAAGCAAGAGAACTAGCTTATGGAAAACCATTTCCTAAGGCATTTTAAAAAAAATGTTTACTAAAAATGAATGACCTTTGAAAACCATCGCCGTGAAGTATTGAGACAAAAGTAACTATAAAATTTGAAAATTTGCTTTTGAAAATAATCTTTGATAAATGAAAAGAATTTTTTACACGTGTTGAAGATACAAACAATGTCATGTTAACAGAATACTGACATGTTGTTTTTGATGACTTGACTTCTTTGCAAATTAACTTTAACCTGAAATACAACCAACTGAGCTATTGTTCGGAGAATTCCTCTTTCAAAACTCTTAGAGTATTTTTTTTTTTTTTTTTTTTTTTTTTGGCTGTTGGTGGTTGTTATTAATATTGAGAAAAAAAATCAGCCAAACACAAAACATTGCTAGTAGCTGTGTCTATTGTTCTACATAATCGTGGGAAATACCTCGCACATCATGTTCGATTAAGCTTAAAACAAATCACAAGATACAAAAGAAAGAAAGAAAAAAATGCCACAAAAATCGGATTCGAATACCCGCCATACCAGTCAGGAATGGTTACAATCCGTTAATTGGCTAGCATACCGTGACCGCGACTGCCAGTAAAAACTTTCGCTTCGACAGAACCCGAATCGGAGGCGGAAAAGTAAAACCAGAAATAAAAAATTCCGGTTCTCCTCACCTTGCTTTACAGATAGAACTCGAAGACCTACATTTTAGAACAGAACAAAACAAGCAAAGTGATTTTATGCAAGTATTTTTTTTTTTTTTTTTTTCTTCTCGACTTTGCTTCCTAGAGAGTGAGATCTCGTTTTTAACGAGCAGACGATTTTCTTCTCCAGACAGGAACGTTGGAGTTGTGTTCTACTGTGGCTGCTCCCGATCACAGATCGGGTTAAAGGAAAATGGAGTTACTCCGGCTAGTGGTGTTTGTAATCGTGCTTTGTGCAGTGATCGGAAATAGTGAGTGCAGCTTACATTTTAAAGATTAATTAAAATTACTTAATTATAATTATACATTCATGTTTTCAATGTTTGGTTTTTTTTTTAAATTTTCGGCAGTTTAATTAAACATCGTTTGAGAGGTTTTATCAGTTCGATTATATTAACATTTTACAAAATAATATCTTATATATAATATATATATATTTGAAATTTTCTCCTAAAATTGAATAATACGAGGGGAGAAATTATTCGAAGGTGCATCATGTTTTGAAACTCTAAAAATGAAAGAATTCATTCGGCAAAATTTAATTAAGCATCTGATTTTGATACTAGAAACGTGTCTAAACTCTGACATTTTCGTCTTGCATTACGCTACTAAATAGATATTCACATCGCTCACATTGAATTACATATTCAAGTGGCTCGGCAAATTGTTAATTTTGAGAGTTGTTGCCAGTCCACACTGCGTAATTTTTTCAAATTAAAGCAGTAAACTCAGCTCTGGAAACAGTTTAGCGAATTATGCTTAACTCTCAACAATATTATTAATATTTATACCATTACAATCTGCTCCCGATTAACCCGATCAATTAAAAAATAATAATTTGTTTATTGTGTAATAATGAAAAATTTTTTATTCCAAATAATCAGAATCAAACAAAACTGTCTATAGAAAGTTCAAAAAGAGGAAAAAATTTTGTAAATCTTGATGTTTATGGCCATTCGTAATTTAGTTTCTTTTGGTGATACTTATTCTTCTGTTATTTATAGAGCATTCTTTTTGTTCTGAATATTGATTTCATTTACGTAACCAAATGAATTTATTCTTTTGATTAAGCTGCTTAAAAACGCAGGCTAATTGCTAATAACATTTTTCTCTTAATTATAATATAGGTTTTTCCTCCTTCCTGTGTTTTTATAACTCACTCTTTGTTTAACCATGAGTTTAAGTTAACCGTGGCAATCGTTTCCGGTATTATTCCGGTAAATCGAGAACTGACTAACTGTTTCTTACAGCATTACATAGTTTAATATTAAAATTGTCCAGTTGCTAAATATTTTTCCTACTTAAATTATAAAATTTCGAAATTTCAATATTTTTTATTAACGTATTTAAATAAATTTCGCCTCCTTTTTTCAGATTGTCAAATTGCTTAGACATCTCAAGTATTAATTATTTTAAGAATTCCAGTAATCGGTACAATGGTTAAATGAGACCATTTAGCTAATTTCAATCGGTTTCGAATGACTTTAGTCAATACCGGCATGCATGTTGTTTGGTGAACAGAGGAATAACAGTACCAGGTGTTGTAGAATTCCTACATAGACTTGCTTTCTATCAAAATTGGGGTAAAGGGTGGAGCCTTATAAATTCAATCTGACTGGCACAAACAGATACTTTGCCACCGGCGCAGTAGTGAAAAATACCGAACCTGTTGTACCAATAAACTTTCTAAATTTACTTTTGTTTCTGATATCCAGTTTTAAGAATCTTTTATTTTAATATTTTGAGATTTTTTTAATACAATTTTATTAAATTTTGAAGAATCAAAAGCGGAATGCTTTCGGCTGTCTTTCTTTACAAGATCCCAAAACGTTATACTTAACTGCTTTAAGCTAGAAACATAGCTAGTTAATTAATTGTAAATATACTACAGCCTTTAACCATCTAAACCGTATATAAGCGTTCAAACATGTCTAATTCAATACCGTTGAAGACGTATATATTCGTATGCCGACTATATGTAAATATTCAAATGAACGTAAACCAACAAGACAGGCTAATATGAAAAAGGTTCTGATGTTAAGAACGCTTATAGAGTTCATGCACAAACGAATGAAGGATTTTTGGAATTATAATCGAGAAATTATGCTTCTTCATGGAGGTTTGAGCCACATCAGTCTTCATAGAATCTTTAGCCACATTAGGAGGATTAACGAACTAAAGAACAAAATCTTTATAATTTCCTAGTAAAAGCATGTTAATTAGCTGGCATACTATTAAATTTACACAATAGCTTTTTATAATTTCTTAACCGAAAATTTACTCTGAAGAAGTAATAACCGACTGCATTACACTTTTGCTTCATTAAAATAACGAACTTCTTTCCACCTGTTAAAGAGGATGCTTTAACAGGGTAATTTGGACTTTTATGACGCTCGTTTTTGTCTTATACACAACTGCCTCACATCTATGCGTAATGTATTATCTTTCTCTAAATCATAAATTTTAGATTTTGTAATATTTCTTTAATAAAATATATATTACTACCATGATTAATAGGATACATTATTAATTTCATTACTAATTATAGAAAAGATAGCTTTCATATTTAATAACTTTAGTTGTTAACTCTTTTATATGTTTTCTGCAATGAATCCATACCTTGTATAAAGAATAACATTTGTGTGAATGTCAAGCACATATTTTATTCCACATATTTTATAACCAATATTTTATATCCCGCACACATTTAAAGTTTAAAAGAATATTATTAGTCTTATAATTACATTAAATAAGGAAAATATGAAGTACGCTTTTTTAAAATTCTTTATTATCATGGTACTGATCAAAACGATATTGAAATCTGATCAAAAGCCTTTTTACTTCCGTTTATTTCTTCTTCTTCACAATCTTCTCTAATTTAAAAGCAGATTAATAGTTATTGTTATTGATTCTTTTTTTTTTTTTTTTTTTTTTTTTTTTTTTTTTTTTTTTGTTCCGCTATCGGTAAAACACGCAGAAAAATGTCGTTTAACCAGTACAAACAATACTCTGCTCTCAAAAAATTGCAGTTATCTTGCTTTCATATTTCTGTTTTATTAATGAAGAAATTTCAGAACTTTACAAATAAAATAGCCCAAAAGGGCTATTAGTCTCGAAATACGATTTTGCATTATTTCACTCTTCATTCGAATCTGGTGCCATTCGGCAAAATGTAAAATATTTAACTTTTAAATGTAATCTATTATTGATTAACAAGCTAATTTAAAATCAATAGATGCAGTTCTTAAGAATATTATTACTCTTAGATCATTACACTATTATCTGCTCATAGATCGCAAATGAATTAATGAAAATTTTATATAAAAAGAAAACTGCGACTAAATTGCTTCCATTTTAAGTATAGTACCTATCCTATTGTAAACTCAATAACAAATAAATCGAATATTTTTCATTAGAAATGCTAATCTATTCGGCAATCACTTGCAGTAATTTGTAAATGCAAGGTCTAATACTGCTTTCAGGAATCTGTTAAAAGAGACAATGATCTCTTAATCTTCGAAATAGGTTACAAAAAATGTTGCAAATTAAATGAAATGGAACGAATTGAATAATTATTACAAAAACAAAATAGAAGTTTTTCTTTATTTGTCAGTTAATTTATTTTCAGATATACCTTTCACGTTCTAGAATTTCACAAATTTAGGATAAAGATCACGGTCTTGAACTCGATTTATACATTCAAGAAGACGATTACTGTGATGCCTATTAAAGTATTCAAAGCAAGAACTCTCAGTAAATAACGTCAACATAAAGCCTTAGTTTTGCAGACTTTTATCTGTTTACCTTCTTTTATCAAGTTACATGTAATTATTATTCAAGATTAAGCATTTTATATTTTCATTAAAAACGTAAAAGCTAAACATTTCTGCTTAGAATAATAATTATTTGTAGAATGATAAAAAAATGTAAATAAAGTTAACCTTTAGCCTTTTTCTTATTATGCGTAATATATACAGCAGTCATTATATAAATATTTATAAACGCGAAAAAACATTTGCCCTCAATTTTTGGAATTCTGTTCACGTTTCAGAATATTATGCTATCTTTTGAAAAATGTTTTGCTGCTTATTGAGAAACAAAAATCTTTTGGTTCGCTGTAGAGTATCTTCTTTTGTAGTTTCAAGAATAACGATTCTGAAATTTCTTAAGGAAGCCATTTCTATCAAGTTTTATAGATACGTTCTATAACCATATTAGAGCTGTAAAGCTGAATAAGTATTATATTGTCTCTAATATACTTGGAAGTATATTACGATGAAAAACTGACAGCTTGCGTCACCGCTAAGAAATATTCATGTTGAGAGCATCCACCATTTGAAGGAGTAATAGATTATGTAACAAACAACATTTTTATACCTACTCTTTGGACAATGAGTTATCAGTGAAACTGATTTATTCGTTTACAATGTGATTTTATCAACGCATTATCAAGGATGCCGCATTTTTATCGAAATGTCTGTTATGAATGGAAACAACTATTATTGAGATTCACAAATCTAGGTTAAACTGAAGGTTTGTTGTGTTACTAATTTTATATTTATACAATTATTATTGTTTGCTTATCTTAATTGTCAAATAATGAAGAATCTGCATTGTATGTATGCACTATGTTTCTCGCATTGTGAAAAAACGGCGGAATGCGGAAACTAATGCACTTTTTATCCAAATTTCCGAGACTTAAAAGTAGTGTGTTATCACTCGGCTAAGAATAAGATATTTCTGCTTCAAATTTAATCAGAAAGCTCAGAGATTTGAAGAAATGTGTTGCCACTCACCAAAATATAAATATCTTCCAAATTTAATCAACAAATTCGGCGATTTGAAAGAAATGAAAGAAAATATTTTTATTTTCTACGCACTAGTATGATATCCTTTGGCAAAGCTAAAGATATTTATTTTTTGTTTTCAAATTAATTTCTCTGTTAGTCTGGTTTTCCAGCCAAGCGATTTAAAAGCGTTAAACGCGGTGCTTTATTAATTACTATTTCGGTTCAGTTGACGATGGATGGAGACACCTGCTCTTGTATTGTGCCGCATCCATCATTAACTAGATTTATTTTAATTTGGAATAATAATAACCAAATTATTTACATTTTCCTTGTTACAATATATAAATTAACTGTATAAATTTTAATGCATGTTTACAGGAAAGAGGAATTAAAAAAACTATAATTAAAATAAAATTCATTAAGTCTACAGTTCACGGAGACCATAAAATTCAATCAAATAT